TCAGTTTGGATAGGCTATCGTGTAAGCTATATGATAATAGCGTTAATGGCCTCATAAAGCCAAGGCTTTATTCGGTGGTTATAGAAACTGACAAGGCTTTATCACACCGTATTCACCTCGGGGCGGGTCATTAACCCTTAGCCAGGTGGCGTTGACCAATCAGAAGCCCCCATTCCATATTGATTATGACGCCATAATGTCACAGTTAGCATGATACAAGTATTGCCAGGTGTGTTTTATTCTCACAAGTGTGCTTTGTTGCACAATGAAGGCCCGGAGCAAACCATTTGCAGGGGAGTTGACTCTTTTTGCTGACATTTGTAGCACGTTTCCTTGTTGAATAGAAATGTTTACCGTCTTGTCATCACCCAATTTTTTTAGCAATACATAACAAAATAAAGACCATGTCAATACATGTGAATTTTGAGCGAAAGAAAAGAAAACATATTTTGCGCCACCCCCCTAGTAAGTACATTTCTGTATTGAAACATCCAAATGACCTCAGATGACTTCAAATGGAAGCTTGTTCTATTCTTTTGGCCATAACGGTTCTGTTCTGAAGTTCCGGTGAACTCAAATGAACTCTGATAGAACAGGTAAAATCATCACACTAAAGGGAATACAATTTTAGACAATGGTGTGTCAGAATTTGTCATAGAAGAACTGATTGAGGCCAATTTAGACTCAATATGTGGGTCCTTGGAATCGAGAAAGATGCACAGGAACAGTGGCCAGCGGACGGGAGGATAGAGGAGTGACTGTAACGGTTTGTTATATAATTTAGATATATGTGTTATACAGGAATGTGTTACTCTCTAATGTGTAAGTTTTGATAGGCTATATGATAATAGCATTAATGGCCCGCCCTTTCTCGGTGAATATGGTGTGATAAAGCCTTGGCGCTGTCGCTCACTCGATGGCTTTATTCGGTGGTTATAGCAACTGCCAAGGCTTTATCACACCATATTCACCTCGGGGCGAGTCATTAACCCTTAAGTGTTCCCTGTGTTTCCAACCTGCCCTGGTCCCCGAGTGCGTCCACAAATACCGGGGTGTCCGAGTCAACGTCGGCCAGCTTGCATTTTTTCAGTCTGCCCAGTTTTACTGATGGATTTTGAGAGGGGAGCGCCTTCGGCGCTCGTAATCTAGGGGGGTCCGGTGGGAATGCTCCCCCGGGAAATTTTGGATTTTTAACCCTTAAAAAACGCAATTTCCCGCATTTTGAGAGGCAAATCATGGTGCTTGAGAGTGTTTGTCGGTCCTTCTGATGTTTTCATATTTATGGGTTCACCACACCACGAAGTGGTGGTGAACCCATATTGCTTTTTCTGATGTTTCTTCTTCTTCTCCTCCTTCTCCTCCTTCTCCTCCTGCCATTTTTAAATGGATTCAGCTTCTTCATTTTAGGGCCTAAGGTCCTGAAATTTGGTATGGAGGTACAGTGGGCAAATACCCCTAGGCGTTTTTAAATTTTTGTGATACAGGCTTTTAGAATGGTTTTATTTGAGTTTTTTGGCTGTGTTATAGCAAATGTATTACTGTGTTAGTGTGCCGTGTTTACCACGTCTGGGCATGAGTCATCACAATGGAATGCAGGGCATCAACCAATAGGCATGCAGCTTTCCTCTATACTTCTTGCTGATTGGCTGTTGGGATTTAACTTGATTAACACCTACACAGAGCATTTCCACCTGCACAGAGCATTTCTTGCTGATTGGCTGTTGGGATTTAACTTGATTAACACCTGCACAGAGCATTTCCATACTGACAGTATGTCTTTATTCAAGTGTTTTGGTAGGTATTTCAAGCTTTTCTGCTCCAGCATTGGAATGCGGGGCATGTAACGTTTTTTTTTTAAATCAACAGTTTTCATTATGCAATTAAAAATCCTAACCAATAAAGTAGGAAATAGCTATCCAACTGTTGTTTTAGTTGTATGTTACTTCATATTATAGTTATATCGATGTAAATCATTGTTTTCCCTTGTGGTTTCTCATTCTTTCCCTGCCATGTCGTAAAATGGTGGTGAACCCATCGCTGTATTTGCTCCAAAGCAAATATTGGCCTTTCTAGTTTACTCAAGTATTTTTGTTAATTTGCCTGTCTAAGGTTGATGGATTATATATTCGTTAAAAAATTCTGTAACTCTCCGCAAACTTCCGGAAATTGAAGGGAAAACTGGTTCTGGCTAGAGCCGAAGGGACCGAGCGCAGAAGCGCGAGTCGAGCGCCAAAGGCACAAAAGCGCAAAATTAGGCGTAACTGAAGAAATTTGTTTTACTTCTAAAAAAGTCCGTCAAGCCCACCCCCACTATTTCTTAATAATTCTGTAATAAAATGAGTTTCCTGTCATAAGCATATTGGGATTATTCTTAGTTCCAATATGTCTTGGCATTTTCATATTGACAGTATTGTTTCTAAAGCCTTCAAAAATGTTAACCTATTTAGGGCCTTGAAATTTAGATTACCCCGCCATGTATTGGGAAAAATATACAAGTCTTTCATACGTTCATTGTTGGAATATGCTGACGTTGTCTGGCACGGGTGCACAATCCCTCGTTGTGTCTGGTGCCATAAAAGGGTCTTCATATTCTTTAATTTGTCAAGAGCTCGGCTGGGAGACTTTGTCCGAAAGGCGACACATTCATCGCCTATTATTATTTCAGGGCAGACACCACATTTGCGTTGCGCAGTAGAGGCCTCAAAATGGGAACACGATTGTAGTGCCTAGTTAAT